TCTAGTAAATTCGTAATTCGTAAATTGTAAATTGTTTGTCATAATTTTACAAAATTTGGTGTAAATGTTCGGCGTTATTTAGAAAAGGTATTTCCCGGGCGATGGATTGGTAGACGAAGTAGAATTGAATGGCCTCCACGTTCACCTGATTTCAATCCTAATGATTATTTTTATTGGGAATACTTGAAGAATTCAGTTTACAAAACTAAACCAGCAAATCTGGCAACATTGCAAATATTAAATATGGAATCTCCGTATCCCAAAATAGGTGTACCTTAAATTTTGTATAATTATAACTAGCAATTTACGAGATAATTGACCGTTTCCAGACTTTTGGGCCATTCTGTATAATAGTACAGCACAAACAATTTATAAACAACAATTTACGAAAAATATTAAAATTTTATAACAACAAGTAAACAATTTACATAACCTTTTCATTTTTTTAAGCTATCTATATAAGTCTTGCTAACGACTTGAACGGTAATTTGGAGGCGCCAAGCCGTTTCGGAAGACTGATAAATTTCTTGAAGACTTGCGTTGTATAATCAAATTTAGTGCATATAATGTTGAAAATAAAGACAATTTGAGAAAAAAAACCTATAACCTGTAAAATACTTTAATTTGTTAATTTCTCTAATGTTTAAAAACGTTGAATTACTGTACCTGTGTGAATGACCTGCGTTGTCGAGACTATTGTAGCTATCCCAATTTTTACTTTTAGGTCTCTGCATAAATTCAACCAAGATTACTTCATCGTATATCTTTGTAAAGTTTATGAATATAATACTATCCGAGTCTCAATACAAAGTTCTTTACCGTTCAAGAGAAAATAAAATATTTGTGAAGTTCATAATGATTTTTGTGTTTCAGTAAGTAAAATTTAAAAGTATTAAAATCAAAAGTTTGTATATTAATAATCCAGTAATCCAGCAGACTTGTAAACATGCTGTGATGGCTTAGTGGGTAGTGCATCTGACTTCAAATCCAAAGGTCCATGATTCAAGCTCGTGCTTGGGCGATTTTTTTATTGTGTTGTGTAAGTAAAATAGCCAAATTTTAGAATTAGAAAGATTTTGGGTATTTAGTTATATAAAGTATTAACTTTTTCTACGGTCATGATAGAAGCAAAACTTAAAGTTTATTAACAAATAGTGATCATGATTTTCTTAATGCTTGTCTTATCAAGCCGTAGAAAAATAAAATTGTAGGTTTTTTACATCCCTAGGCATATTAAATAATAGTGAAGATTTTATGGTCATTTATACTTGTGAGGAAACATTAGAAAACGTTAAGAACTGTAGCTACAAACTACAATTTGTAGTATGGTAGGTGGATCAACACTAGGTGACGGCAGTTATATGAAAGCTCCTTAAACTAAATAAATATCCTTCAAAAAATATTGTTCAGAAAAATCCTTTTGTTCTTGTCGAAGCGATTACATGTTAATTTCAAAATTTAATTCACATATTTTCAAGATTGGATTAAACCACAATTCGTTGTAATTAAAATTACATTTTTCAAATTGGAAAACAATTTCTGCATTGGAAATCGAAGCATCAAAACAAAATAAAAAAGGTACCCCCGTGAAGACAGGCAAAATGCGCTCACTTCCAGAATTCAATTTTTATCATTTTTGCGTTCTATTTGATTAAAAAATAAGACTCAGCGCAATTTTAACCTGCCACCCTCCTCCGCCACACCCGTACCCACAAAAACCTAATTTTTTCGTTTTTATTTTGTTTCGGTGAGTTGCAATTAATTTAAAAATTTCAAAAATCCTCAAGGCATACTTGAGCATTTTACAAAATTTCTTTATTTTTTATAGATCCCTAGATTGAGTGTACATAACCTACAAATACATTTTTTTAACAACGCGTATATATTTTGTTTGGAGATAGCTGCAGGTCTAGTCTTTTACCTATTTTGTATATTTAATCAAAAACTATATTTATAGATTTTTCTGTCAAGTGCTCCACCTTCAAAACACCAAAAAAGTATGTCTTAGGAGTTTTTTAGGACTATTTTATAGACTTTAAAATAGATAAAATCAGGGTTTTTTGTAGGTTATATATAATTTTAAGTATTAAGTCCTTTAGGACCTTTAAAAAAATTGGGCGAAACACCTTAACCCTAAAAACTACGTTTTTAAGGCTTTTGCGAATTTTTTCAGGGTCAATCATTTTTTTTAAATCAACGCAACCTGATTATGTTGTTTCATTTTATGTAATTAAAAGATAAAACTCGCCACCCCCACGCCTTACTTCCAAAAACGTCATTTTTTCGTTTTTATTAATTTTTTTTTTGGTGGGTTACAATAACTAATGGTAATAATATTTTTTAGAGATAGCTGTGGGTCTATTTTTTTATTTTCTGTATTTTATCAAACAATATATTTCTGATTTTTTTCAAGATTTTTTCGTAAGCCACCTTCAAAAACACTAACAACTGTTTTTGGGGGTTTTGGGGATTTTCCCATTTTATAGACCAAATAGATCAAATTAAGGTTACTTATTTTATAGGTTATATATAATTTGAAGCAACTGAGTCCTTTAGAACATTCAAAAATCGGGTAAAACACCTTTAAACCCCCAAAAAACCATATTCAAAAAATATATGAAAAAGAAAATTTTCTGGTCTCAAACAAGTATATACAACCATAGCATCGTTTATGAAAACCAATTTCAGGTTGTTCGGGGGTTTTTACTGAATTTACCCAACTTATTTTACTTTTCTACATATAACATGAAACGGGATTTTACATTCCAGAATCTTGATGAATGAACACTTGAAAACCGGGTCTTTCGCATGTTTTAAGAAATTTCTAGGTTCTATGAATATGCAAAAACATCGTTTCGTGTTGTTTTATAATTTTTTTGAAAATATTCTGCTTAATGATGTAGACGTTAAAAGTTTGTCAAAACTAGTAAAAACCTCCCGAATAACGCTTGAAAACCTGTTTTTTTTGCAAAAACGATGATTGTATTTGCTTCTTTGAGCCCTAGAGATATTATTTTTCATATATTTTTTTGATATGAATTAGAGACGTATTGAATCAGATTGTGCTGATCTCAAAACATATTAATAACCCTGCAAAAACTCGCAAAACTCTTAAAGAGCTTGAAAAAACATGGTTTTTGGGGGTTTTAAAGACTTTCGTCTGAGTACTAAAGTACTCAGTTACTTCAAATTATATATAACCTATAAAAAAACCTGATTTGATCTGTTTTGAAGTCTATAGAATAGGTAAAATCCCCAAAACCCCCTAAAAACAGTTTTTCGGGGTTTTGAAGGTGGCGCACATGACCGAAAAATCTGGAAGAAATCAGAAATTTAGTTTTTGATTAAATACACAAATTAGAAAAAAATAGACCTTCAACAATCTCCAAAAACAAGTAGTACAGTTTTTTTCGAAAAAAAAAGAATGCATTTTTAGGTTATGTACACTCAATATATGGGTCTATAAAAAATTACAAAAATGTATATAAATATGGCTCTTACAAAAACAAGTTTTGTAAGAGCCTCAACTATGCGTGTGAATTTTTTAAAACTATTAAAGAAGAAAAAATTACGTTATTGGGGAAAGGGACATGGGCTGGCGGGCTAAAATTGCGCTGGGTCTTATTTTTTATTCACATAAAACGTAAAAAGTTAAAAAAAATGATTGATGTTGTATCGATCTCAAAAAATATGATTAACAACGCAAAAACTCTTAAAACCTTGAAAAAACATGTTTTTTGGAGGTTGAAAGCTGTTTTACCCAATTTTTGAATGTCCTAAAGAACTCAGTTAGTTATAACTCAGTTATAACCTATAAAAAAACTCTAATTTGATCTATTATGAAGTCTATGACATAAAAAAAGTCTCCAAAAAAACCCTAAAAAACGGTTTTTTGGTCGGATAATAAACCGGAAATTTGGTTTTTGATTAAATATCACAAAATAGACAAAAAAAAACAAGACCTGTCAGGCGTCTCTAAAAAATTTCTGTAGTAACTATTTTGGTCGTTTACATTAAGTTTTATATTTCCACCTGCAAGCATGCTAGTTTGGTAAGATATCTGCTTACCTGATAGGTATCTCACTAGAGTGTCGTATTTTTCGAATTTTTGTATAAGGACTGGTGGTGGTTTACGTGCCGTTTAAGTCTCCTACTTCTGTGTTGGTGAGGGTGGGGCCGTACTTCCTTTGGATAGTCGCTTGTCTTCTTTTTTTGCGTTTCAAACACGAATCCATTCGGTTTTTTACTTAGTTTATTCTCGTCTGTGCGATATTCTATATCATTTTGCTGTTGTTTTCCTTCCTTTATTGTCTTTTGTAGTGTATTTATTTGGATTTTCATTTGCTATATGATCATATTTAGATTTTATCTTTCTTGTTTTTGCTTCTTGCTTGATTCTCAGTAAAGAGCACTTGATTTTGTTAAGCAAGTAATGCCTGACTTGGTGTTGTCGCTCTGGAAAACATATTGTCTTTTCTATAAGTTTGTGAAATTATTTTCTTGTGGCATGTCTAAGTTAAATATTATGTTTATATGGGAGTAAGCCACAATTATTGGTTGTAATTAATTTGAAAATTACATTTTTATATTTGAGGTTTCGACGTCCTCTCCGGAAATCGCTGTCAAAAAAGGTTATTCAAGAATTGTGCGAAATGAGTATTACCGCAAAGTTGTTGTGGATGTCTTTTCAAATAACGTTGACTTACTTGGTAAGTCGCTTACTCTTGTAAGCAACAGCCTGTGCTTTTAGCACATCACATTCTGATTATTTTGTGTGTTTCTACATTACTTATATGTGTATTGTGTGTTGCGTACATATTATGTTATAATTGTAACTACGATGTGCCTCCTACTGTCTTAATTCGCTATTGGTATATTCTTGTTATTGACTTTTTCTTTTTGTATCGGCAACCAAAGCCTGCTACATTCTGCTGATGGGTTTGCTACACATTTTGTAGTATTAGTAGTATCTCCCATCTTCTCTTCTTTCATTCAAGCAGCGTAGAATCTAATTTTATTGTTTTCTGTCTTAGATCGTTGCAAAAAATTGTTAATTTTCCAAATTGGGGATAAAGCACATACCTAACTACCGTTATTTATTGTGACTAATCGTGAAAATTTCCAGATATAAAAAGCTAATGTACGTTTTCATTTTTTTTTTAATTACTGGCTTTCTTGTATTTATTATGGTTTGCTTTGTATATAATTTGATTTAATTTATTGAGAATGTATATAATTTATTTATAACTTTGATGTAATTATGTATTTTGTATTTTAAGCTGCTATGTTTGTTCGCTTCTTTTGAATCCATGTGTGGTATAGCAAATTATTTGTAAACTAATCTTAATATACTATAAATAAATATTTTTTAGCCATCACGATTGGAGTTAGAATATTGGGTCCAGCCCTGGGATTTATTGTTGGATCGATATGTACCAGTATTTATGCAGATTTATCCGTAGACCCAAAAATTGACTCTTCGGATCCCAGATGGGTTGGAGCGTGGTGGTTAGGTATTTTGATAACAAATCAGCATCTCCTTTTTAATCAATTTTCATTAACCTCTATAGATTGACAAATTTGCTTTTTTTATTATGACACATATTTTATGGATGAAATCCCATAAAAATTCGCAGAGAAGCCCAAATTGTCAATTTTTGGCACTAGATGAGGTGTAAAATCATTAGCCAGAAATGATACATGGATAATGCTTCTCTATCCATACAATCTTTTGTCATCTTAGGTTTGTTAGTTGATGTTAGACGTTTAAGTAAACTTTTTTTGCCTCTTCAGGGCGTTTTTCTTGGTAGTGGGTGTAGATACTGGTGTTGAAAATTTTCTATCACTGGTGGTGGTTGATCTGGGGTCCTTAAGAGGAGAGTAAGAGCCAGAGAAGAGAGGGCTTAGACAAAGTTTTTTTTTTTTCATTTTTTTTTAATTTACTGATTCTAATTTTTGTGAACGCCTTAAGGCCAACTGAGGCAGTTTCCTCCATATGACAGGTATGATTGTGTGATCCCACAGAAAACCGATGCATTCCTATCCGCTGAGTTCGAGCCTACCTTTAGATGACATCTGTCTCTTGATGTTATTAATAGAGTTGTGTCGTCTGCGTAAACTAAGATAATCGTGTTGGTTCGTCTGATATCGCTTTGTATACAGTATAAAGCGTGAGAGCAAGAATGGAACCTCGTGGGACTCCTGTTGTAGGTCCTGTTCAGGAAACATAGCCGATATCTGATTTGGAGGAGTTTGACAAAGCGAATGGGAAGAGTCATTTGCAGTAGTTTCTGCGATAGTCCGGCATAAGACTTAATCGAAGATTTTCTGAACATCAGGAAAGACATCAAGGGCGAATCCTTTGTCATTTAGATTTTGTGTAAGTTTTTTTTTGTTTCAATGTACATTGAATTACAACTGGAGGGAATGCGGTAAATTTCTTGATGGGCAACCTTCTATTCGATCTTTAGTTAATCTTAGACTATCTATCATCTTCGTTAGTTTAAAGATGGCCTAAGTTCATATTTCGTTAAGATTTTGCCAATGCCAATTCGATTTGTTCTGTTATAATAGCGGCAATAAACCTTTAGTAGAATATTTTTGGACGTATATACGAGGTGTGTCATTTAAGTTCTGGGAATTCAGTTAACTCGGGAAATGAATATATTGCGTCATTCGTAGATATAGAAGTCACCTTCCTTTAGTTCAAGTCAAAGTTTGAAGTTGATAGCATATTTGGTTTGTGTTTTATGCGTATTGTTGACTGTCGAATTAATCATTAACAAATAAACTATTCGCGAAATATTCCACAGAATTTTTCGTTGTCACAGAAACGACAGTTCTCACTATCTGATTTGCCCATATTTTTGAGATAATATCTAAGAGGACAGTGATAAGTGAGAGGGCCAGTTGTATTTTGATATGTTTTTTACTCATTTCGGGAAGTTTGTTGCAGTAGCGACATTTCATGCATTTTTGCTTGCCTTTGTCCGGATGTGTTAGACCAATTTAATCTTAGTTGATCAAGTTTCCAGGTCCGGAGTTCCTCTCTGATGTTGCTTTTCGATAGTTCACAGAAGGGTTGCGGAACCTGGACTATTACGAGTCTGCCAGCTTCCATATTTCCTGCAATTTCCTTGTGTCCCAACACCCACATCAAAGTTACCTTGTTGCATTCCACCAGCTTCTTGAGGGATTATTTATAGTCCCAAACCAACTTTGACTCACAAGTAAATGACTTTAGAGCCTTTTAGGCGGATTGTCTGTCTGATAAAATAAAGACTTTTGCCTTACGAGTGTCTCGGTTGACACATTCTTTATATATATATATATATATATATATATATATATATATATATACATATAGCATGTATTTATCCCTGAAAGATAGTGATTATCCCCAACTTCTTCACCCATTTGGTGGTTTTTTATGACCACTTCAGAGGGTGATATGAAGTCGAATTGACTGGCATGGCATCTCTCGGTCTGTCCTTAGAACCCAATGGAATTTCTTCAAATACTTTTTAGGTGGTTAACAGGATGGAAGATGGAATAAAGAAATTGGCCGCTGGAGACCATATACTGCAAAAAGGTCAAGAGGTCTGACCGCAAATGAGATGGAAAGATGACATTTAAGCAAAGCGCAGGTCCAATGTGGACAAGACAAACAGAAGACAGAACAGGACAAATGGTAGAGGCCTATATTCAACACATGAATAGATTTTGGGCTATAGATAGATAGAGAGATCGATAACTAGATCTCCAGGTTTCTTCCAGAGGAAGGTTTAGTATCGCCTCTAGAGTTGCAGTGGGGCATGTTGACATTGCCCTCTGATTTCCAGATAAGCTAGCCGCTGCACTTTTTGCAGTTTGGCATTCGCTGTTGTTTGTTGTATTTTTGGCCACCATACGATTCATGCGTATGTTACCATGGGCCTAAGAAACGTTTCATATAACCAGAGGGTCATTTTCGGTTTTAGGTCTTAGGTCTTTCCAAATTCCAAATGTCTTGCGTTAGATCCAACTTGTCACCAATGCTCTGGATAACATTTTTTCAATATGACTATTCCAGGTGAGTTTTTGATCTAGGGTTAACCCCAGATATTTTACTTCTTTGGAATATTCTAATGAGATGCTCTTTATAATTGGACCCTGTATCCAGGGCATCCAGTTAGGTGTAGCTAGGTGTCTTATGAGGACCATTTAAGAACCACCTCCCGTCTATCACGCTCAATGTGGCCGTTTCGAATAAAAGGTGCTAGTACTATAATACAACCCCATACCCCTCAATAACTACATGTGTATTAAAGTCTGGCCTGTTTCAAGAATACAGGCCAAGCCTCTAATAAACACTTTTCCTGTTTGTCATATAAATATCTATTTTAGGGTTAGTGTTGATTTCCTCACTGCTTATGTTGGCATCATTTGCTATGTTTGCCTTCCCCAAAAGACTCTCAGGTTCCAAACAGACTGATAGATTACGTTTTAGTGACAAAAAGCATCCTAGTATTAAAGGTAAGCATTATTGCACATTATATTAATATGAAACATCAAATAATGAGAAAACTATGGATCTGGCTATTATGTGCAATGACTATTTATTGTTAATAGCAGTTGTATTTATATAGTTGTATGGTTTTAGATTTTCCAAAGACAGTAAAAAGGCTGTTACATAATGATATTCTTATGTATAGAACTGCCAGCAGTGTATTACATATACTTCCAATAGCAGGACTTTATACATTTTTACCTAAATACCTTGAAACTCAGTTTAGACTGCCTACACCATCAGCCAACATGATATCAGGTAAATATTTTACGTATTATAATTTTTTTTATTATACCAACAACCTGAGGGTACTTTGTACTACATATCAGATCATGAAGATCAGTTAGTTGCCAATTTAAGAACTATAGTTTCATTTCGTAATGTTTCTATAAATACTGCCTTACTTTTTCACTTTACACAGGTATATTCAGCTCGCACAATGTTCTGCTTTTACACTAACTATTTTCGCTTCACTATCTCGAAGGGTTTGGTCCTCTTGGGCCTTCTTTCTATATATGTATTCTCAAGGAGTTGGATGGCATCGATATTCACATGTTGAAGTAGACGTTGCTCATGTCTGCTGGCACATTTGGAAATTACTTGTCTCCATTTTTAGATCTCGCTAGATGCAACCGGTTTTCCATACAATGGAGCATCAACGCTGTTTTTACTACCCTATTCTGAAATCTCTGTACTACTTCAATTTTGTTTTTACTGGCGCATCCCCAGAATTGTCGCCGTATGTTCATACTGGTCTTAGTGTTTATTTGTAAATCAGTAGTTTGTTTTGAATTGATAGTTTAGAATTTCTTCCAAGCATCCAGTTCTTCTTTCTAAATTTTATGTTGTTCTTCTCTCTTCTTTTTAATCTGAACTTTTCAACGTCTCTTATCCAAAAATGTAACCCCAGGTATTTTGCAGAATTTGTAACAGGGACCTGAATGTTATTATCTATTCTGGTAGGCTGATATCTCCCTCTTCTATAGGTGAAATTGACATGCATTGATTTTGTACCATTAATTTTAGTTCTTCCATTTTTTGTCCAATGATTCATATTTACTAGATCTGTAGTTTTCTTGCAGCTTCTTGATGCTCTTATCCAACTGATAGGATAGATTGATCGTCAGCGAAAGTGCCTATCATACCATCTTTAAGGTCTGGAATATCATTAGTGTATAATGGGTAGAGTAGCGGTCCCAGTACACTACCTATTTGTATCCCCGCTTTGATTTCTTTCAGCCCAGAATAGACCTCCTTCTACTTGTCTCTAAAGAATCTGTTTAAAATGTAAAATTCCAATAATTGAGAATAATGGTTTGGTAGTACTCTTAATTTGTAAATAAGGCCTTTATGCCATACTCTAGCTTAAGCAGAAAGCAGTATCCAGAAGGACGACTGAACAAAATTTCTTTCCATCGAGTACTCTTTCTATTAAATCAGTTATTTTATGTATTTGAAAAAACTTACCCTAAAACCAAACTGATGAGGTTGTATGAGTTTTCTTTCCTCTAATATTGGTTTTAATCTTACCAATAGTTTTTCATATAGTTTCACCGTCATCATCAGAACAAGTCTGTATGGTGAAATTGTCATCATAGGTCTGTAAAATGATACTTCATTTTGCAATTTACTTGTCTCTTCTATCATTACGACCTCCGCAACTTTCCAGTAAATCGGCTTATGCTTAAGCCAGAGTGATACAATTATTAGGTGAGTAATTTTCACTATAGCTTTTTTGAAAGCTGTTTCTTTTGTTACAAGATCAAATCCGGGCGCTTTTCTATGATTAATATTTTGATTTATCTCCTTTTGGACTTCTTTAGGAGTAAGAAATTTAATCACCATTTTGTCTTTCCAAACACCAGTCAGTTTCTCAAGGTCATCTCCCTCATTTGGTTGGAATGTGGTGTGTAAATTTTTTGCAAAAAGCTTAGGTTTTTGTTCATTGTTTTTGGTCCAACTACTAACTGCATTGTCTATTGGAAGATTATGCATGATGGGTATTTTCAGTTTCTTAGTAGCCTTTTTGCTAAGGTCAAGTTCAATTAATTCATTTGTATTTTTAGTTTTTGCATTGCATTGTTTAGTTGTGTTTTATTCGGTGGATATCTGCTTTGTTGCCACCTTAATCTCAACTTATAAAATGTATAATTTTTTCATTTCTTATCCTTTGGATGTTTGGTAACTAGAGTAAGATTACAGCCATAGCTCAGAGTAATAGTTTTGGTAATTAAAGTAATAAGTTTCTCTAACTGTTAATATTATCAATTGAACATGTTTTAGGTGTTGGTGGAATTCTTGTGATGGGACTGGGAATTATTATAAGCGGAGTTTTTATTTTAAGAGTTAAACCAAATGCGAGATTTGTTGCAGCATGGATTGCCTGTACCGCAGTCCTTTATGCAATAGGTAACTACTTTTTAATTATATCAAACATGAATTTAAAATTTTTTTGTCACAAATGTTACAGTAATTTTAGTAAACTAATAATTGAATACCTGCATAATCTGTTCAAGCTCAAAATATTATCATTAAGAAGTTATCTTATTTTAGGGATGGGAATACTCATGTTCATAGGGTGTCCGATGAATGACTTTTCTGGAATTATTGATAATGGGTGAGTAATTCAACATTCCACAATTTTACATCAACAATGGATTTTTGTAAGGCACTACTTCTTCTTCTTAGAGTGCCGTCTCCCTACGGAGGTTGACAATCATAAGGGCTATTTTTATTTTAGAACTTGCTGCTCTAAACAAATCAATCGATCTCCATTGATACCAATCACGTAGATTCTTTAACCATGAGTTCTGCCTTCGGCCAATATTTCATATTTTGGACCCCTCATCACGTGGCCTAGGTATTCCAGTTTTCTGGTTTGTATAGTGGTGATTAGTTCTGTTTCTTTACCAACTCTCTCCGGTACTTCTTTATTTGTAATTCTATCAGTCCATGATTTTTTGAATACTTTGCGGTATAATCAGAGTTTGTAAGCCTCGATTCTTTTTAAATTGCATTTTTTTAATGTTCAAGTCTCATCTCCATATAATAATATTGAAAATATATAACAGCGAATGGTACGTAGTCTGATCTCCAAATTTAGATTTTTGCACGTTAGGAGTGGCTTCATTCGTATAAATGCTGATCTGGCAATCTCTATTCGCCTGTTTATTTCTACAGTATGATCATTGGTTTCATTGATCGAAATTCCCAAGTACTGATATTTTTCTACTTGGTCTATCACGTTACCATTGATTGTCAATAGGTGATGTATATTTTGTGGTCTTTTTGTAATTAGCATGTACTTCGTTTTTTTAGCGTTTATAGTAATTCCCATCTCAGCACTATTCACACTCAAGCTTTCGAAATGTTGCAGATCCTCTATACTCGTTGCTATGATCACAGTGTCGTCTGCATATCGTAAGTTGTTAATTAATTTTCCATTAACGGTTTCCATCCGTCCGTGTTCTCTGTGATCATTATCTCCTTCTTTTCATTTCTAAATTTATATTGAAGAAAAATTGGAGAGTAGTTGATAGTGCTGGAATTTTTGGTCGTAAAGGTCAGCAAAAATGTCTGTGATTTCTTCTGTTGATTTAATTAATTTGTCATCATGTTTTAAAAAACCAATTTGGCCGTTTTGCTTAATGCAGAACATGCCGAAAATGCCTCCATAATGCAGACAGGGGGTGAGTTGTTGGGGGATGCCACGAAAGATCTCCAGTTTTGTTTTTTGGTTTGCTTAATCTTATAGCGAGATTCAGCTTTTAGTTTTTTATATTCTATTTGATTTTGTGTAGTAGGACATCGTCTGAATTTGCTTATATTTTTTATGGCTTCGTCACATTATCATTCCACCTCGGTACTGGCGTGTACTGACTGTCTACAACTGGCGCTTCTCCATTATTGCCCGCCTGTTTGATGAAGATTTACTCTCCTTTTTCTGCTTTGTTTTGGGAGTTCCCCATTTATTCACGCGACCATCAAGATCGCGATGTGATTATTATCAGATAGACCGGCATAATCTCCATGTGATGTTGGGGAATCTCATTCTAACATGATCTCTCATTGCGATCCTTGATACTATTTTTAAAAACAATTTGGCCTCGACTGGTTCACGCAGTATTAAACATTGTTTTTTTATTGACGGTTCATTTTTATTCTATACTACAATATATTATTTATTATAATTTTTTTTAGATTTGACACTATGCAACTAAACTGCAATTCATCATACTGTGATTGTAACGAGAATAAATTTACACCTATATGCGGACAAGATGGACAAACCTACCTCTCACCTTGTCACGCAGGTTGTCTAAATTTTACCGGAACTGATGGAAAGATCACGCAATATGTAGATTGCATGTGTCTAAATTTATCCTTGTCAAATGAAAAATTTGGAGATGAACGTGTGTTTGGGAATGCAACCATCGGATACTGTAGTCAAGATTGTGATAGTTTTATTCTTTATATTATACTGTTTTCGTTTTTCGTTTTTATACACTCAACGGGAGAAGTGGGGTCTATGCTGCTTATTTTACGATGTGTGGACCCCAGGGACAAGGCTATGGCGCTGGGGCTGATCCAGTTCGCCATAGGGCTTTTTGGCAATGTTCCTTGTCCGATAGTTTATGGTGCTGTTGTTGATTCTGCTTGCCTTGTTTGGAAAATGGCATGTGGGGAAAAAGGAGCCTGTGGACTCTATGACTCAGACGTCTTTAGAATGTTTTATCACGGTAAGTCATTTAATTTATTAGAGATATTATTTGTCTTTTATTTATCTGCATAAAAGTAAGAAATTGATTAATAAAACACAGACTGAGTTCCTTCTCGATTTGACAATTGCAGTATTATACGTAATTAGAGCCGAAATATATTAAATTTACCGGATAATAAGAAAACAAACTAATTTATCAAAACTATGGCATTCGTTTCTCGAAAGTAAACTATAAAAAATAATAGTCGACGGGAAAACTGAAAGAAAGCAAAAAATTAATAACTGTCTCAAAGAGATTAGACAAAACAATGAGTTGAGAAACATATACAGGGTGGTGAATCGTCAAACGGGCCATAGGAAATTCAATGGGAAATTCTAAATTGCTGAATTCCTGCTTCCCTAATTATTTTACATCAAAAGTCATACGAAACTATTTGTAGAGGACTGAAATATTTATTAAAAACAAATGTTAAAATTGTTTTATGAATTAAATGTATTCCAAAATTTTGTACAATACATTTTTCAGGCCACCCCTTAAATTCAGGCCACACGAGGTACAAGCATGTGTATGACATGTTGCGTTTGGTTATGAAGGAATGAAAGATTTTTTTATTTTTTTTTTTGTTGCCGTGTTTTATGCGAAACCTGATTTGTTATTGAGTAAATGTCTTTTTTGTAGGAACGACTGGAGTCATATTGTTATGTGCATTTGTGGTCGACGTCGTAGTATGGTACAAAGCTGTTAAAATTAACTTCGTCGACGAACAATCCACACAGGAAGAGGAGCTTCCTACAATTACATAGAAAAGTGAAAGGAATTGGCAAGATTTAGAGACTGCAGCAAAATTTAAAGAGCTGGTTTATGTTTAATGATTAACGGTAGTCGGAACTCAGGTGCAATTAATGTGCTTCAAGTAAACTTTTCAGAAAACTAACAAACCAACAAAAGTATTTTTGGTGTAACGTGTTTTAACTAAATTGTAGTCAAGAAATAAAATCTAGTTTAAATGGCATTTATATTGTTATTTCCTATAAATTAACCCTTTAAACACAATCTTTAAATTTAACTGAGAATTAAAAATGAGGATATAGAAAATTATAACATATATTATGGCTTTGTGATATTGAGAAAAACATTAAATTCCATACTGTGGCCTAAAATATTTGTTGTGTAAACTCTGCATCTATAGATAAATTCACGAGAGGATTTCAGTACAGTGCTTATGAGAAGCGACGTTACATTTCGCTTTATCTCGACAGATTTTTACCAACCTAGGAAACAGGAGGGGTTTTAGGAAAAACTAACAACCACCTCCTCTGCATCAAAGGGATTATGGAAAAATACATCGAATACAAGCAACCATTGGTCCTGGGTTTTTATTTGTTAGGTACGACTTCTTTTTTCAAGTAAATGTATATTTTTCGTTTCCCATGAAGAACATTGAAGAACTATCTCGAGCTGTAATAAAAGATTTGTATTATAGATATGCTTTTTTCTAGTGTACAAACGCAGGATAAAAAATATATATTAGAATATAAACTACTCGCCTAAATTAAAATATATTTTGTTTAACTTTACATTATAATACATCAAGAATAAAATATTAATCCTAACATTGTGTTATACCAAATAATGAACTATTTCTCGTCGTTCTGCTTAATGTAGTGTCCCTGAATTTTGACGAAGAATTGGAATCCTTTCCCATAGTCAGTAAACACATTAAATTCTATGAAATTGTGCCCTACTCCACCCGCTACATAACTTGGATATCCACCTTTCCCGTCAGGCGTTTCGTCGTAAATATTAACGCAGGTTATATATACAGCAGCATCGATATTCATCTGTAACAAATATCAAATTTAATCTAGCAGTAAAATTATGCATATATAACCTAACCTAACCTGTGACAAAACAGTGCAGAAAAGGAAAGCACAATCAGACGACCTACGTATGCTGAAAGACCTTGATGCGAGGATGAGAGTCCAAGCCACGTTAAACGAGCAAGTGACTGCAAGTAGAGACGAATCAGTGGCGGCCGGTCAGAGTCGGCAGGGTCCCACATCTTTATAGATATTATAGATTTTTTTAATATTTAATTTAATCAGTATTTCAATAAATAATTGTGGCAGGTAATCAGTTGATGTCATTTGTTTTTGTGAACTAAAAAAATATCTGTGAGATAATAAAGACTAAATGTTATTCATGGTTTTTAAAAGAATTCGTCCAATCTGAGCGTTAAGTGATCCCTGCGTAGACACTTTTCAAATAGATGATTCGATATCGGAGACATCCATCCGCCTATGAATTCTTAAAAAGGCACGTTTTGTTTTTTCGGCTAGCCGATCCCAACCTTGACTTTACTTGTAAAAATCAACGGAATATTGGTTGATTAGCAACCAAAAATACATTTCTTTCCATATGAACTTAATTACCAAGTACGGCAAATTTAAATTTGCCGATGTTTCATTTGGATTGGTGATTGGTCGCGAACTGTACATTGCGAGCATGGGACGAAATGTTATTTCATATATGTAGTAAAGTGAAGTCCACAAGGAATCTACGTTCCTGTGAAGTGATATTCAGTGCACGAACTAGCCTTTCTTTTTGTGATTTATTTTTATTTTCTAAAGTAATACTGTGATACGTTACGTCTGCCGTAAATAGTTAAAGGTTAAAGGGTTTTTTGACATATTAGAAGTTTTTTTTTAATTAAATTGATATATTGTATTGTATTGTATTGATAAGTCTGATATTGTAAATTATATTTTGCATAATGGGTTTTCATCTATTCCATACGAAGAACAAATTGTTATTAAAAATAAGGGGCGTCCTTTGCCTAAAATGTCCCGGCTTATAAATATTAGTGCGGGTAAGGGAAGTAATAGATCATTTTCAGATAATTGGTACAGCAAGTACTCATGGCTTACCGGGAGTGAAATAAAAAACAAACTTTTCTGTTGGCCTTGCATTTTATTTTCGACAAATAGGGGCAAACATCAAAATCCGTGGTGTGAATCTCGTTACGATAATTTAAAGGAATTATTTAGGGCTTTACATAAACATGATATTTCGAAAGATCATACTTACAGCCAGATTAAATTAGATTTATTTGGAAAACAAAATATCTATGTTTCATTAGATAATGCCCAACGAGAAAATGCTATTAAACATAACGAAATTGTAAAAAATAATCACGCCGTTTAACGTCGTTTAATTGATATTGTAATTTTTTTAAGTTATCAGGAATTATCTTTTAGAAGACACGATGAATCGGAGCATTCGTTAAATCAAGGTAATTATAGAGAACTAATAAAAATGTTTAAGAAATACGATTTGGAATTTTCTAATTTACTTTCTGATTCGAAGACATTTAGCGGTGTATCTAAAACAATCCAGAATGAATTAATAGAATCAATTAGTTACATTTTGAGTAACGTTATTGAATCTGAGGTTCAGGAAACCATTTGCTTTTCACTAGAAGTAGATGAAACTACTGACATATCATGCCATTCACAATTTTATTTACTCATTGTCATGCGCGTAGAATGAATTTAGTTTTGCAAGATACATGTAAAAAATTAAAGAATGTCGTCTTTTTTGCCAGTTTAAGCGGATTTGCTTCATTTTTCTCAAGCTCGTCTAAACGGACTAATGTTTTAGAACGGTTTGTTTCGAAAAAAATGCCAACAGTTTGTCAGACAGACAATCTCGGTTAGTTTTCACTGTAGCAGATTTTCGTGAACAGCTTTTGGAAGTTTTTGATTTTATTATTGAATGTGACGATTTTGAAAGTGATAATATCTCAATCCGTGAAGCAATCGGTTTGAAAATTTTATTAAATGATTACTCTTTTAACATACTTTTAAATATTTTTAAGAAAGTGTTTACCCAAACCGATTTGATATTCAATGTTGTTCAAAATCAGTTAACTGACATTATTCATTCCAAAAATAGAATAACAAGACTGGTGCAAAATCTCAGAGATTTTCGTAATGATAGTAATTGTGATGACACATGGTCGGGTTTATAGGATAGGTTATGGAGAGTGGAAATTAGGTTACAATGAAACACCTTTCATCTATCGTGTCTAGATTCAGAATCGTTTTATTTCCTCTTCCTTGCACCTGTACGTCACGTCACTCTTACATGTTACCAACCTGAGTGCGTTCCGAATGTTTTCTTATTCACATACATCACATAGTTACTTAAAATAAATGTAAATCTTAATGAATAGTAGGAAATATTTAGTTATGTACACTTTTTTTTAAATAAAATTGTTACTATTTTACGATTTTTTTATTTATTTGTATGCATATTTTGTAAAATATTTGCATATTTTCGGGTAAACACGTGCATATTTATGCACATATTTTCTACATTTTTATTTGCATATTTGCCGAAGTCTACTGATAAACATTGCGGATACCGTAAGCACGGCCTAAAATGTACGAGAATGTGCGAAAATTGTCATGCTGCTGAATATGAACTAGATAACGCAGAAAAAGAATGTGAGGGTGAGATGGATGTTTTGGATGAATTGTTATATGATTCTGAAGAAATTGTACAACCTACTAAAAAAAGAAAAATAAATAAAAACTAAGCATATTTCTGATTTTATAAATATTGAATCTCATTTTAAAACCATATAAATACATTACAATTATTTTACTGTTTATATCTTTGTTTTACTAATTTATTCCTTCTATCAAAGTAATTTGCAATTTAAGATATACGTATATTATATGTTTATTTTAATTTATTAAACCAATTATTTAATTTCTAATGAAATTGGACTAAAAATCTAGTTTGACCAAAAGTTTTTAAAATAAATTTTCTGGAGATTTTTTTGGAAAATAGATTGTTTTTAAATAGAAATTTTAATCATTTGAACTTTACTTTAACATAATTTTTCACTAATAAAAGATTACACAGCGAGGCAGAGTAACTATTTAAAAATGTAAATTGTAAATTGTAATGTAAATACTGAAATAGTAGTAGTTAATATTTTAAAATACCTATTAAATTTTTATAGAAATGGGAATGTTTCATGGGGTTGTTCTCAATAATAATTTGGTAGTAGATTACGTTTAATAGTTGAGATCTATCAAATTCTCTATTTTTAATATAAGATTGATGTTCACTTATTCTAACATTTGAACTAAAAACCTTGAAGCTCTTTAACTCAAAAACAATTGATTTTCAAGTCTTATGGCACTGAGAACTTTTGATCAGCATGACCGAAGCGAAGTCTCTGGCAAAGTTCCAGCCAATTTAACTGAATCCACTTTTACATTATACGTCACCTCAAAAAAATAGATAACTCGAAAATTTTTATTTTTGATGTAAGTTTACCAATAGATGTAAATATATCATCTTTATGTTATGCTACAACCAGACAATTCACAAAGTACCCTTTGAGTCAATACTTAACTTTATAAAACACCATTTGTTTAATACTTCTTCTTCTCTTCTTTGTCAACCATTTTCCATCCACTCCTGAATGTAGGTCTCTCCCAATTGCTTCAATCTTTCTATATCTTGCGCCAATCTAATCCACTGTTTGCCTGCCACTGCTCTTACGTCATCTACCCATCTTTTTTGAGGTCTTCCCATGCTTCTTGTTGTCGTTCTTGGTCTCCATTCTAGAATTCTCCGTGTCCACCTGTTTTCATTATATCGGGCTACGTGACCTGCCCAGCGCCATTTCATTTTTGTAATTTCTTCCACAATATCCCTAATCTTCGTTCTACGTCTTATCTCGGTGTTTCTAATCTTGTCTCTTAGTGGTAGGTAAAAACTGGTAGTATGCATGTGTTATATACCTTTTTCTTTAAGTTTATAGGAATGGGGGTGTTTTTCAAGATATGTGCTAGTTTGCCGAAAGCGCCCCAAGCCAAGTGCGGCGCGAAATGATGTGGGCGCAAAATGGTGTGGACGCAAAGTTGTGTGGACGCAAAATTGTGTGAGTGCAAAATGATGTGGGCGCAAAATGGT